AGAGTATCACGACTGCAAGAGATCAAAGAAACAAAAATTAGAGAAAGAACAAACAGATGTGCCTGAATATTAAGATATCAATTATATGACGGAAAATTGTTGTAATTGCTTTGTATTCTAAAAATGAAAAGTGGAGATCGGCAAAAGCTTACCGTTGCCACGGAAAATAAATCATAATAATGTGATATTGTGATATGGGTAGTAGGAATGTAATCAAATCAGGCATTTTACTAAATGCCTATGCAAATAGTCAAAGCATTTAATGTTAAATGCCTATTTCAAGACCGGCTAAGAAAAAAAATGAAACATTTTGTATCATTTTAAAAATTTAACTATATTTTCTTATTAATTATTTATTGCTATTCTACAAAAAGAAAACTATGTATTATTTATTAATATATAAAATACGAAGGTATATGAAATGTTTTTAATTTCATATTATCCTTCGGTACTATTGTTTTAAAACTTAAATTATAAATAAATATAGGTAAATACTAATTAGGTTTTTTTTATCTTGGTCGTCATAAATTGATCTAAATTTTTTATTAAACAATTTCACAAAATTCGGGTTTTCTGAGCATCCCCAAGCGATACCTTGCCTAATGGGAACCGGTCTCGATGGCAGGGTGTTGTCTGTTGGGGTGTCTGAACAGAATCGTAACAAATAATAATAATAATAATAATAGCATAAAAGAGTGAAAATATTTTGATAGTCATATAATATAATCATGTCTAGGAAGTGAAAATGTCAAGTGTCATCAGTTTATTCATTTTTGAATATTAGTTGAGTATTACAACAAAAATACAAAATCAATTTTATCGAAAACTGCAGGTTTTGTGCTTGAACAACATACTATTTCCAGTTATTATTAAAAGTACTGGGAATTTTATCGAATTTCCTGCAAGAACCAACTTCAAAGTTGATGATCAAAGCAATTTACTGAATTCTGCCCCAAACGTGATGAAAGGCACAACAAAATAAAATAAAATAAAAACAAACATCACAAAACCTATATATTCATCAATCAACACGAAATCAAATACTATATAGTTTACATGCATCACTATTAAATCAAAACGAATCAAAATTTTCTTATTATTATTGGATGATACACCCATTACTTACCAACTTTTATTGTTTATTTATTTGGTTATACAATTTAACATTTATTTCTATATTTTGACCATTTTGATACCACCGTCAAATAATACTATGATTATACACTGTAATTTCTGAATGAAAATCTTATAAGTAGTATTATAAATTATAATAGAGGTACCTTATGTACAAACCGATAATTGAAACCGTTATAACTTATAATATTATAGGTAGGTAGTAGGTAGGTATAGACGATCTCGGAAACAGGTCTAAAACTATAAACGATTATAAATTGGAAAGGTTTAGTGAAAAACAATGTGCCTGCAGTTGGCTGAAGTTAAATTACTATTATTAAAATATAAATTCGTAGTTTTATACGAAAATTTCACGATCAAATCATCCACATAGCCTAAAGTGTCAGCGAAAGTAACTATATATACTTTTCATTTTATTTCTCGCTTTTAATTCCCCGTGCATTTTTGTTTTTTATGGTATAGGTAGGTACACTCTGTAGTCTATTAATTTATTAGAAAATCATTTAACTGTCTAATATATACTATGCACTTCGCGCGCGACGGACACACAAAGTTGCCGATCGGTTATTATATTTGTAACTAGGTACTCGGACAAAAAAAAAATACAGACGTGTATGATTATAGTATTATTATCATGCATAGAACATATATAGGTACGCGCATGACTTATAATTACAGTGCAATAGGTACGTACCTACTACGTAGGTATACGGTATACGGTATAGGTGCATAAACATAACGTTAGAGTCTACTGTCTACTATAACGGTTATACTCAGACGTGATTCGACATTCGACTCGATAGCCTATACAATTAATAGGTACCTAACAATAAAAATGAAATTCAAGTTTACAAACACATATTTGTACCGTTTTTGAATTGCGAATTAAACAGGTGACTGAGTTACAGAAATTATTTACGTTGTGTTTGACTTATCATTATGGTACCTAAGTGTTTTAACGGTCAGTTGGAATAGTACGTCATTACAGTGTAGTGAAGCCTTAGCCCTTAGCAATATCACATAAAAAATCCCATTAGAATTCAATTGCTAAAAAATAATTATTTATTTTCAATACATATAAGAAGTGGCAGTAATGGAAGGGGGATAAGGGAGATGTCATCACTCTAGCCATGGTCCAACCCTCCACTCCTCTCAGATTTTTTAAGATTTAATTCTTTTCCTCATTCGTACCTCTTATATTTCATAAAAGATGAATCTAGTTTTTTTGTATCTTTAAAATTTTTTTTTTTCTTATGAAAATATTTTCCTTTCTAAAATTGTAACATTTTACACCGAAATTCTGTAGACTTCTAACCGATGCGGTACTTTGTCGCAGCTAAACATATAATTTTACAATATCTTCAATAATTTAATAGATTAACACTAACTGTTAATAACTGAGATAAAAACAGCAGAGCACGATGCCGATAACAGGACTGTACTGGAACTCATGAAAACGCAAAATGTAGGAATTAACTGGATTAGTGCCATCTCACCTCCCAAATTATTTTGATCCACATTGACCATTGCAGTGTAAAAAGGAACGCCTTATATAATATAGCACGTTGATTAATCTATCTAAATATTGAATCATAGAATATAGGTACCTAAACGTAGATTGGTCAGTTGTCTACCATAAGACAATTATTAACCTACCTATTATATTGAATATCATTATTTTTCAGTCTCGAGTGTCGGCTCTTGAATAATTAATGCGGTTTATTATTAAACATTTTTATGTGAACATCATCGTGAACACAGCATCGTCCGTCATAGTATTTTACAATGTTGTATTATTTTTAATATTAAGTAATGTTATTGAGAAATAATATTAAATCGCTATTCGATTTAATGCCAAGAGTATAATTATTGAATATAAGTCTGTGGTTCCGGATAATAGAAAAAATACTTATATCTACATAAACAACTTGTTGTCTACATCATTAAGTGAAAATGTATTTTTTATTGGATCAGATAATCGGTGAAAACTTTCACAGAATAAAAATAGATTCGTACAATTATTAGAAATTGTTTTCGTACATATACCTATATACGCATAATTATTAAAAGCCATTCAATTTATTCAGAATAATATACATATTGATAAAACAATATACAGGTTGTTTCCCCAAGAAGACGCATCCCCTTTATATTCTTCAATAATGCAGTTATTTAAAATATGATTTTTTGGAATTTTTCAATATGCCTACTTGAGGTCTATGACTTGAGAAATATACTTTGAAATATTTTCAAATTCTTGAGATTTTTTGTACTACTTAAGGAGTGTCCTGTTGGGATGGAAACTTCTGTTTTTCAAATTACAATTATCATTTCTATTGTAAATAATTGTTTGAAAATTGTTGATGTATCCAAATAAAAAATCAAACAACTAGTTTTTGAATTATATAACTTTGTGTACTAAGAATAGGTTCATGACAAGGGGTTGGGAAGATATGGGGACTACCTACGATGACGAACATTTTAATAATTAATATTAATCTATCGATATTTATAATTTATAAATATGGTCCGAGTATAATAAATACTATATCCAAAGTTACATATACTTTTAACCCATTTTTAACATCTATTATAGGTACTTTGTAAAAACATTTAAATAGGAAACTGAGAAACTATAATCGTTCAAATTTTGATTTTAATACGTCAACATTTTCAGAAAAATAATTTGTTAATTAATTTACAATAGAGTCCGGGAGGGAGGGGTTCTTATTTGAAAAACACAAGTTTGTATCTCCACAGGATACTCCTTAAGTTGCACAAAAATCTCAACAATGTATAGAATATTCCTTACTAATTAATATTATATTATACCTATTTACTGTGACACCTCAATTTGAACATGTTGTGTGGGTATCAGATGCTGACCGAATCTCTTGGTTTTCATTTTAATAACAGTTTATTAATTTATCATTCATTAATTACTATTGCGAATAACTTACATGTTTAATTATTTCTATAACCACTATACCTAATATGATTAATCACAATCACAATGTTTGTGTATCACTACAACTGTTTTACGGCTGTATTGCTGCTGGTACGATGATACCATGAATATAGACGAGTATAATAGCCCTGCAATAACTAACTGATATAACTATAATACAAATAAGAAAGTTGTTTTTGGAAATATGTTTCAAATCATATACAATTAAACAGCCTAACAAACCACATAATATTACGCTAACATTTTTTAATCGACTTCTATTATTTATTAGTTTAAACATACTGCTGTATGGTCGTCGTAACTTTAGAATTTTAGATGTACCGATTACAGATTTATCAATTCAATATTAATTAATGATGGCGACTGATGAGTGATGATGACTATTGACAATATACTTACCATACATAACATCATAATGTTGCATTACAATACAATAAGTCTTGTCTACTATACATTTCAATACCTTGTATAAAATACTATTGTTCTATATAGTAAACGTAAGCTTTTTGCATTCAATAAAAGTATAAAACTTGACAAGGCACCCGATCAAACCAAAAATTAAACTTGATTTTTCACAACTATATATTAAAAATAAAAAAAAAATTTAAAACGTACATACCCGCAGCAGCAATCAAGAGACTACACCTATGGGTACGTACATTTCGATTCGTGTGTACGATTCTCCGGAACGCCGATTGAAACGTAATTTATTTCATCAATACCTACACGCTGATTGGTGTATGTCTTGTGAATAAATTAAGCGAACAACACGTTGAAAACGAAATCGACTTTCGTTCGGGCCGCCTCTCCGTATGGCGTCCCATGGCAGCGGGGACACCTTTTATAAAAGACTGCAACCCGACGCAACGATCATCACACGTGCTGTAGCCCCTGCAAAATGAGGTAAGTTCCGCCGACCAAATCGCGAACGGTTGTCGTGTTTTCTTTCGGTTTTTATATCAGCGGCGCGATAAAATACACTAATATTATGATGATGAATGTGATTTTGTTTTAGAACTCCTTTATCGCGGCTCGTATTTCTGGCGGCCCTGTTGGTCCATGGATATGGTTGGAGATCGGACAGCGAAGAGTGCGCTCTGCCTCTAAAACACTTCAAGTACATATCGTGAGTATGACAACATTTTCAAAGTTTTTAACCCCGTGGGGAATTGGCACGTCTTAGGAACGACATATGGTTTAGAATGTGCTCCATGGTAAAATATTATTGTCTGCTTGGTCTTGTGAATGATTAAAATTCGTATGATGGAATAACAAATTATTATTAAGCTTTATAAATGGTAGGTACCTAAATATATTAAGTTAAATTTTTTATACAACTTTAATTACAGCCTTTAATATTTATAGTTTATTCATATTTTAATTATGCCAAGCGAAACAAATACATTTATTTAGGTCTTTTTTCCGATATTAAATAATATTTAAGTGATACTATTTGGATTATTATTTGCATGTTCTTACTTATTACACATCCGGTGGAAATTGAAATATTTTACTGTATAAAATAATACTAAAACTAACTATAAATGAGTATTATTTTTTTAACACGAAACAATTCATTTTAGACACATTTTTATTTTATAAATTATTCAGGTGTTTATTTGCACTGCATAAAATGTCAATGTAATTAATCATCGTTTTAAGTGAATAAATAATTAAACATTATTCTATTTGGTTTACTGTACATACTAATGCAGTAATGCCTAATTATGATACATTACCTGATTTATCGAACATATATTATATAATATTGTAATATAATAATAAAGGTAACTGGTATTTGGTAATTTTTATGCTATTAATTACTTATCTTTTAAAATAATTAAAATGCCGTTTCTTCAAATTGGATGATGTTTATTTGTTCTTATATTATTTACTATGAAATAAAGTTGGTAATAACAATGTGACTCAAGTTAAGTTTAGCTGATCAAACTTACATTATTTAATAGTATTAGTAGTTTTTTTTTTCATTATTTTAAATAATAATCAGGTATGGTTTTTGTTGTTCACATAAGTAGGTACTTGTTATAAAATAAACATTTAAAAAACGTTAAATTAGATATGTTATAACTTATAATTGCTTGTAATCTAAAATGCGAAGCCATAGCAGTAACCGTGCTAATATTATGAAACAATTTAAGTTAAATATATTTTACACTTTAATTAAAAGGTAGTAAAGATTTAATAGGTAATAAATAACCCTTAAGAAGCACGAACTCTCTCGATGGTCCAACCTATTAATACGAAAATATGAATTTAACAGATTAAAGTCGAAGTTAAAAATAACGGTTTCCTAGTTTCAAATATTTTCAATCATTTAACTATAATAATGTCATTTTATTACGTACAATTATTGAATCATAATTATTTTTCATGTGCAGGTCATTTTATGTAGGTATAGGTGTAATTAACATTCAAAGAGCTTATTGTAAAACTATGTAATCTATACTGAAATGCTCGAGGACCTTTACTCTTTAGGCACTCTGTTTTAAGACATTATTTGTCGTCGTTCTAAATGTTTATATATTATAATAAAGTATTGTATAATTGTATAGATAATATAATATTATAATATTTGTATTGATTATTCAATAAATAAAATGACATTTTTCTCAATTGGTCTTATAATAGTCATGTCGTCACATGACTTGTGACTTTTTAAATAAACAACTATTTAATTTAAGTACATCGATTATCCAAAAAAAAAATATCAAATGGGAGAAAGTTAAAGCGCATTTCACTTATTGGGAACCCCTTGCGACATTGATCTGCTGTGATTTCGCTAAATGTATTTAAGAAAAAACTGCAAACTCATCCCGTTTAATTTTAAACAAAGTCGATTAACAACAATTAAATTCGAAAATAATAACAAATTGGTACTGTTTTGTACATTGTGCTAACCAGTAATCTAAAACAATAGAGATTTTTTTGGAGATTTCCGTAATCATATAATATCAAATGATAGTTCAGAGCGACAAGAGTTAGAAATTTTCTTTTGAACTTGAGACGGAAAAGAGAAAGTTCTTTAAAATATTCGGGGCATTTTTTTCTTTTATTTTAAATCAAGGATATCGGATATCTGTCTGTTATTGATTTTACACGTATGCTTTTGCCTTTGTGTTTCTTTTCAAAACATTGTATTACATTTTCATTTATCTTATTTTTAAGCGATTTTAATGGTATCTCAAGAATTAAATTAAATATAGTATATTGAGTTTAATTTAGTATAATTAAATGTCAATTTTAACTTTACAACTTTATATTTTATATGACTTTTCTAAAATATTTCATCGCTTTTTTTAATATATATATATATTATAAGCAGCAATTATTATAATTGAAGTTACAGTTTTAGTATAATACTGTCTTATATTACAGTCCAACTGGTTATGGTGAAAAATGTATATCGTATACCAATGTTTCCGAAGCTTTCCATGAAGCATGCAGAGGAGTATTGGGCATAGAGCCTGGAACCAACGATCTAACGGATATTCAGTTGGATAATTTGGGTGATGTAATTCAAGAAACAACGAGAATTTTATGCGAATGGTCAGTGTTTAACATTCATTTATTATAGCTTATAATTTATTATGTTACGATAAATAGTTATTACCATTTTACATTTATTTCATCATTATATTAAATCGCTTTCGTCGATATTATTATAAAACAAAATACTATAAAATAATATACTAATGCGTATATCATACCATTGTCATAAAATTGTTACGTTTAAAACATTATCTTAAAATAAATTAAAGGTAGGTGCTACTGACTAGTGACTGCTGTAGGTACTAGTAATTTATAATATCTTGACATCTAGTACTTATGTCGCTATTCCGATATTACTATAATAATGATAGATTGATAAATATTATACATTTATACACAGTGGTTCACAAAGCATGCTCACCCCAATTTTCCCTTTAATAATGAATTAATTCAAATACTGATTTTTAGAATTTTTTTCTGTAGATATATCTACTTAAGGGTCATATAAATACTTAGATCCTTTATATTATTTAAAGAGTGTCCTGTGGCGATACAAACTTTTTTTTTTCTAAGAGTCATACTTTTTTCTTCTGAATTGTTAATTAGATGACTTTTTTGAAAATGTTGATATCTAAATCAAAATTCAGACAAATTGAGTAATTGTTGGGATATTTAGCTTTGTGTACTAAGCATAAATGCATGATAGGACCACATTATGATAATTTTATGGCTATGATGAATAATGATTTGAAAATGTTAGTAATTAATATAATCTATCGACATTTTATAATTTGTTAAATTTGTCGTATAGTATGAAAAGTTGGTATAATATTATACTTCTACATATTATATATTTGTAAAACCATTTTTAAGGACTATTATCCTTAGCATAACTCAGCAACTACTAATTTGAATTTTGATTCATATACATCAACGTTTTTAAAACAAGTCACCTGATTAACAATTATAGTAAAAAGCTCTTTTATAATAGTATATAAAAATTGGTTTTTATTACTGTAGAGTCTTCTTGACTGGAATAAAAATGGTATAGGTTAAAGTTGTAAAAATCAAAATTAGAATAAATTTATAAAAAACAAAAACCGGGAGTGTGCATGGTGAATCACCCTGTAAGCTACGTTCATTCATTTTTAAACTATTAAAAGTACAACTTTTGGTTTAGGTTTGGACTAACAAAAGATCAAGTGCGAAGTCTATTACCAATTATAAATACGGAAAACACTGATATTGGAGCTTACTGTCCGAAAGAGCTAAAAACGTATCCGGGAAATGATTGTGGAGATGGAATCGGGTTCCGTTCGATCGACGGGAGATGTAATAACTTTGTTCATCCACATTGGGGCGCTGCGAAATTACCTTTTAAAAGACTTCTACCACCCGATTATGGTGACGGTGAGTTTTTTATTGATGAATTGTGTTTAAATCTCTCGTAAGTGTTGATGTTCGAAACGCAATTTCTAATCGCGATTCGACTTAAAAAAAAAAAAAAAACATTATAACAATTATAGTTATTATTAATTTTATTATTATTATTATTACTAACGAAATCTTCCGTATATTCAGGTATCAAGTCGATCAGGACGAGCATAACCGGATTTCCGTTACCCAACCCTAGGTCTGTTTCTGCCCGCGTGCACAAAGACATAGCTAGACCACATCGCACTGATATAACGTTTTTGTTTGCCGCCTTTGGACAGCTTATCGACCACGATCTCACTCTCACTGCGGAAACCAAAGGTATAGTTCGTGATTTAAACGTACGCACCATTATTTCAGAAACATGTCGGTTGTATAATTAAATATATATTTTATACGTTCCATCAAAATGTGCTTGCACAATACTGCAGACCCGATCACCAGACAAGAGATCAAATGTTGTTCGGGAGCCAACAATCCATATTGCATACCGATCAACGTGCCGATCGATGATCAGTTTTTCGTGGGCAGTCATCGTCAGAGGTGCATCGACATGATAAGATCGCTGGCCGGCGTCAGTACCGATTGTCCTCTAGGTAATCGATTTAATATAATATACAATAGTAATAATTTATCACTAATAAATATTAATTAAGGATAGGGACTTGTATAGGAGTTTGCATGTTTTCTATAATGTTAATGTTCAAAACATAATATTATAGCTTAGTGATATATAAATGTATTTCATAATACACCAGGGGAGTATAATATAGTAAATTTATTTTCCATATTTCGTATAATATCATTGAGTAATGAGTATATATTGTGTATTTGTACAATATACACAATAACATATACTCAATGATAATATTAAACTTTTTTTATAAATCTATTATCTATACCAATTGAAATTATGAACTGCCGATATTATTCTATTATCTATACACAGACTCCATAGCTATACATTGATTCATATATGACCATATGGGTCTAGGATATTTTAGTTTGCCCGCGGTGTTAGTCCGTTGATGTATGTTCTTTAATCGTTATGGTCAATGCGTAGACTAAGTGTTATAAGTTTATAACTGTACGTTCTGGTTTAAACTAACTTAAGTAAATATTTAACATTTAAAGTTTATAACAACATACCTATATATTAATAACTTTTCTACTTTAGTAATAAAAATATTTTTCTTTGAAAAATATAAGTACCTTCAAATATTTCAGTTTTCTATTCATATTTTAAGACCATGTTTAGGGCATAAAAAAATTGCATACCTATTACAATGTTTTTTAGGATATTCATAGTCCCTAGTCTTAGTAATTTTCAGGATTCTTTCGTATTTCACGAACGATGTAGAATACGCGTAGGTACTAGGTACCTAATACCTATATCATATAAATGTATAACCTACATCAACTATTATCATGACTTTCTATACCATGGTCATAATATGATATACCAATAAACCCCATGTATTTGTACATAATACGTGAATGATGATGGGGGTTCTATTTTAGATTTAAGTATATACTCTATTTTTCTGCACTATACACACAACTTATTGTTTTATTTCAAACGAACGTTTCGAGTTACAAAATTACAAAATAAAAGGACTTAAATTATTATTATTACGTGAACTTAACACAAGTTCTGCAGTCTGTAGTGGAGTTATTTCTCTCTTTCGATATATTAATTAAAACGATAATAATAAGTCGATAACATAGTTTGACCACAACCTTTTACCTAATAAGTATTAATAATTTACGGACAAACGAAAAAAAAAGGCGATACTTACATTTTATGTAGGGCGAATAGGTGATAAAAAAATCGCGCAGGCGACGGCAAGAACCCATATATATATGAGACTTATATAAGACTTTTGTGTATACACAAAAGTCTTATTTTATATTAATATAATAATAATTATTTATTTAACACATGCTGAAAAACCGATAGAAACGACAAAATAAATTTGATGGAAACAAAATTAGGATGAGTGTTGAAATTTGTTTAATTCTAAAACCACCGCTGAGCGTACGACGGATAACCTAGGGGGTGGTCGGAGAGGGATGAAGTCGAGTGTTGACACCGTCGTCACACACTCACATATATACCAGTGATGGTTTTGTTTTGTGTGGGGTAGGTGAGGGAAGTAAGGTATTTCCTCACCTATAATTTTTATCAAATTAAATATTATTTTTTAAATTTTTCCCATATAAATGCCAGTGTGCCACCAGAAATTATAATAAATATAGACATATAGTATATTATACTCGTTACACACTTATATGATTTTTGTTATTAGGAAAATTGTTCGGATATTAGGAATCTTTAGAAATAATAAGTTAAATATTAATCGATCCTACTTTCAAGTGTCAGTAATAATATTACTCTATACCGGTTGTAAATCATTTGGAAAACACTGGTTTTGGGAAGAATAATCAACACTAGCCTTCCGGTATTATCGTTTTAAAATATTCGTAAATATATACTTTACTTTATAGGTTACCTCGTCTTGTTCAATTATACATATACAATCTGTTTTAGTCTACATACTGGTAGGTACCTTATTTATATTTAATATTTTGTTACCTCGGTGAAAAATATAAATTGCATTTATTCGTATTATACGTGTGTTAAACTAATATTGGCTAATTTCATAATGTCTACAGAATTTCGGAAAACATTTTGAAAATAACAATAGTTCAAGAATTATTTATATTATTTAATTTAAATTAATCTTTAAAGTCATGATACCAATCCTGATATACCTATATGGCTATATATAGTGACTAGCAATAATTTTAATTTAAAGAAATGTAGTTTAAATTCATAATAAACTATATATTCTTAAATATCAAATTAATTTTCTAAAAATATTAACAAATAGTTTTTTTTTCTTAACACCAGTATAAAATAATTTTATACTGATGTTTTTAATAGGTACCCGCTCATAAAACTAAGGGATACAAGGGTTACACGCTCTCGAACGGGCTAAAAAAAGTGAGCTCAAATAAACCCGTCACCCGTGGTAATTTTAGGGTAAAAAGAGTCACCCGCTGCGTTCAAACGGGCGAGCCCCGCTAAAACCGATATCCACACGATGCACTATAACAGTCGAATAACCACCACCACAACTACGGGACGCGGGTAGTGCGAACCGTGAGCGGCCGCCGACTGGGACCCTGGTACCGGAGACCTTTTCGCAGGGTTCGACGGTCGGCGGCGGCGGCGCCGAACCACCCCCGATAGCCGTCTGCGCATGGAGTCCTGTTGCCGACGGGTGGATGTAGTCCCTTTTGGCGAATGCGCGGCGGCGACGGACCCTCGCCGGAAGGTCACGGACGGTCAACGACGCGATGACGTGCAACCGCGGTGAATTCGCCAAAAACACCCCGATCGCCTGCACCGGCTGCGACCCTAGTCGGCCAAGACGCCCTTTCGGCGGTGTTTTGCGATGGTGCAACATTTAACATTTCGCTCGCGTTTCTTAAACACGCAAACGCGAGCGGGCGCGCGCGCACGCACAATGCAAGACGACCGCGCGCAGACGTTGTCGACCGCTAGCCCGTCTTCCCGTCCCACCCTGTTGTCGTCGGCTCAGTTATTAATTTTCCGGACCGATAGATTTTATTTACGTTTTTTTTTGCGCCCCTTCGTGACGTCACCGCCGATTACCCTGCAGTGCGAGCGAGAGGGAGAGTGAACGAGAGAGAGAGAGTGAGAGAGAGGGTGAGAGGGAGAGAGGGAGAGAGAAAGAGCGAGAGAGAGAGAGTGAGAGATGGCTGGTGTGAAAAGAGAACGATCGAGGACGCCCCCTCACCCATCTGCTAGCCGACCGAACCCCTGCGACGAGAACAAATCGGGTTCCTCCCCACTCCTCCCACCCGTTGCGAAAAGGGATTGGCAATCGTACGCGGTCCCGTCGAGCAGCGCCTCCGGTCGTTAATCGTTTCGTCCGTCGTTCCACAATAATAATAAAATCGTACCACCTGCGCACTATAGACTCGACGATTGTATATACGAGAATATTGTATTATTGAAATATTATAACTATTATTTATTATTCAATGCATCTCGACAAGGACCACAAACCGATTATTTTGGGAAATTTTTTCTCCAACTACCTGCATTTCGAAACTAACATCATATAAAATATGTCATTGTTGAAAAAATGATGCACTATATTTGGGTTTAAAATTGTATCGGTATATTATATTATATTCTACACAGATATGCGTAAGTTATGTTGGTTTATGAGTTGGACGCTTACTGGCTTCTCGTTTTTGTGTTAAGGATTATTAAACGACAGTCGACTAGGGCGAGTTATAAGGCTTATATGTTTACCAAAATCCTAAAATACAACTATTGTTGTTATATCGGTTGAATATGAGAATATTGAATAAAAATATATAATACAATACATTTAGAGTATAATAATTGTCGGTAATCCACCATTTTTTTTTAATTCTCACACTATTCTTTAAAATACGTATCATAAATTACGGTGTGATCCATTTAATGTAAAACATTCGTTATTTCGGAAAATAATAAGTTTTTGAATATATTTCTTTTACATCGTTTAATTCATTATAAAAGAACAATTTGGTAAAAATTTATACTTTTTCAAACAACAACGAACATTTTTTATTTCAAATATTTCAAGAATTTCAGAGGAGCAGTTTTGTTGGTTGTGAGTTCAAAGACGAGCCGATTTTTAGACGAACGAAGTATAATAATAATTAATAACTATGTATGTAGTTCCGAATCCGTAATGTCTGAGATTGCCTGCCGCGATGTTTGGTTTTCTAAACAGAGTTCTCGATGTCAAAATATTATTTAACACATTCGGAATACACTTAGTATTATTATTATCATTATTATTATAGCCAATATAGGTACGTGTTATTATACAATTAATATTGTTTTGTATATTATATTATTACTCGAGACTCGTACTTTATTTCAACGTAGGTACAGAAATGAGAATAATGTGGTTTTCAGCGGCCTGTCGATTGCAGGCACTCAGGTATTATCGAGTGTGACTGATAGTCGACAACAATTAATTATCGCAGAACAATAATTATCACACCTAATTTTTCGGTTTCGTGTAAGAAAATTTTCCTGTTATAATTTTATATTATTCAATTGTTAATAAAACTCAAAATATGACGTAGCTAAAGCAGTCTTAAATCGAATGGTACAATATAATAATCTGATAACTGATTCAAAATGTACATTGGTAAGTATCGAGATGGAGAGAAAACACGAGTACAAAAGTGTTGCGTAATTGTGATAAAAATCATAATATTGTTTAACCGGGACTAAGGGTTTTGAATGCGAGCTGATCGTCTTCAAATGAATTTTAATTATATTATTGATTACCGAACAATTCAAATAATATTGAAATGTTCATTTCCAAGATGTCAATGGTTATCAATTATTATATTAGTCGATCGTTATAAATCGACATAACTTCCTTTGGCTATTAGTACATAAATTTATAATAATATTATGTAGGTGTAAATGTATAATAATATATAATATATGTTATTTTTATACATATTTTATAAATTTTATTTATTACTACCTATCTATGTATTAGTATATATTATCCGTCTTCGTACGGATTAAAATTAAACTATCTTTCTATTGGTTTCCGTCTTACAGCAATCTATGACGGTTGAAAAAATTAGCTCAAAACACCCCAAGAGTCTCGAGAAATCTATTGATATATTATGATATACCTAGTTATGACTTAGGTATATATTATTGAAAATGGCCCGGTAGTTTTCGAGTCTACAGAGGACAAACAGTTATAAGAATTATTCATTATATATATTTTATAGATTATTATTATTTGTAGGTCCCCGTGTCCAGACCAACGCTTTGACATCTCCTATAGACGCCAACTTCATATATGGTTCCAACGAAAATCTGGCAAATAAACTCCGGTCGTTCGAGGGTGGAAAATTAACCATGGTCCCGGTACTAGCGGGTAACCGGCTCAAGCCAATATTGCCCCCAAAGAAGGACCAACCGGACGACGGATGCATCAGACCTCACCCGGACCTTTATTGTTTCCTGGCCGGTATATATTATAATATTTTATTATTAATTTTTGGGTTGTATACAGTTTCAACAACGCTCGTTTGACTTGTATGCATATGTAGGTGACAATCGTGTGAACGAACAACTGGCTCTAGGCGTGCTCCACACGATTTTCACTAGAGAACACAACCGAATAGCTGACGAACTGTGCACGATCAATCCTCACTGGGACGACGAACGACTCTATCAGGTAACGAATCTTAATTAATAAAAAATTGAATTTGTGTCATGCGATGCATTTACCTTCAAAAAAATAAATATAAATTAGGTACGCCAAGTCTATACAGAGCATACACGTTTGAGTCTTATATAATTTACTACACATACACATTGTTTTAAAAACCGGGCACTTCTACTAATTATTTTATAATAATATTATAAAATACATTAGTATGACCATTTTTTCCTAAGTCCCATTTTAGGACGATTTCCAGGGACCCCCTAAAAAATCCAAATGGACTTGTGCATTAGTCAGATAAAAGTGTACAATATATATGATTACTTGGCGTTACCTAGGGCTAAAATCTTCTACTTTATGAAATGTCAATAATACTACAATTTTATTTCATTTCTGTAGTTTTTTTTTTTTTTTTTGAACTTAATCCCGGCATCTATGACCATTAGTTGTATTGGTTTTCTACGTTTGAATGTCGGTAGGGGGGGGGTCACGTGTGTGTTGGGTTTGGCGGAATTTTTGATTGGGCACCTGTAGGTATCTGCCATGCCCGGGAGGGGGATGGAGGCACTTGGTCTCCAGACACCGTGACTTGCCCGAAGAAAAATGCCGCCCGTGACCAAGGAATCGAGCCGGCGTCGGCAGCGTCGCAACCGACGCCTTAAATCGCTCGGCCACTCCGTCCCCCTTTCTGTAGTTTGTAATTAGGTACATCAATATCAATAATATCATACATACAGGGTACGCGTCTTAAGTGTTATAATAATGTTTGCATTTATTATTATAGCGGTGCCTGAGTGCGAAGATTACAATGATATAAATATCCAAAATTGTATGTAGAAATTCATTATTGATATCGACGTGACTTAGGAGAGTCTATACTATGACAATTTGTTATTAGTTATTACTAATGAAGTAAATGAACATTTAATATTTTGGTTATTGCTTATCCATTGTTTAGTGTCGTACAGCTAATATACCTAGTTGCCAGAGTGTTATTATTTGAATACTGAAGACTAGTGGTGTAGACATGATTTCTGAGGGGGGATCAAAAAAAAAAACGACATAGCTAAATGGGAGGGGAAAATTTGAATATCCCCCACCCTCTCAAAACTTTTTACTAAGGTAATAAAAAGCCAATGTGGGGGTTATCCCACGCCCCCCCTTATCTACGACCTTGCTGATGACGATAATATAAGTTATAGATTATATTATATAAAATATCGGTCTAAAATTATAGATATACAATAAATTATAATAACTATTTTACTTTGTATAACCGATGGAAACCTTAGATACACAAACAAAAATATTCGTTTTTCGTGAGCCAACATATCCCTGCGTTAAGCATGAGCTCCTCTTAAAATTAAAAACTTAAAAATTAGCTTTGAGGTATAGAATTACCTATGTACCAAATTTCAGAATCACGTGTGTGAAAGACTTGACTGTGGGTCGGTTACACACCCACACACGCTGTATTCACCACATATCACCACACGTTCTTTTTCTCACAAAAATGTATTGAATTGCCTTTTAATTTTTATTAACATAGAAGATACAATATTATAATAACCACTGTGTCTTAGGTATTTAACAATCAATTTTTTTGGTGTATAGAAAGCGCAATATAATCCAAAAAAATTTAGTTTTATTCAAGAAAAAAAAATTTAAAAAGCAAATTTACCAAAAAGTCAAAATAAAATACCGTCCGCGATACGATATAATATGACGGCTCATCATATTATATTGTAATTATGTGTATTATTGTTTGCGTGCGAGTATATTCACATTCGTTTCGTGCCGATGTGCACGCCTTTACAGGAATCGCGGAGAATCGTGGGAGCGATAGTCCAGCACATTACTTACAATGAGTTCCTGCCGAAGCTTTTGGGCAAGTTCACGATGAAAAAGTACGGTCTGGAGCTTACAGCACAAGGGTTTGGTAATAGCTACGACCCGGATACGGACATCACGGTGCCGGCCTCCTTCGGCGCCGCCGCCTTCCGGTTCGGTCACTCGCTGTTGCCCGACGCCATGGAACGCTGGAGTTCCGGTCACAAGTTTTTGGGCTCCAGGCGGTTCAGCGAAATGTTCCAGCAACCGTACGACCTTCACAAGCCAGGCTGGCTGGACCAGTATCTATTGGGTATGGTCAACCAAGCGTCCCAGGCCATGGACGACGCGGTGACGTCTCAGGTGAGTGCCACGACGGGTCAAACTCGTTTTTTTTCTCGCCCCCACGAATTTATGACATTTTCCTTCCACGATAGGTAACATCATCATTCATTTATTATCATAAATACCCATACATATTTTCTGGTAAAAATATTCTTATTAAATTAATTACCTATTTATTTCTAATATTTTTTTATTATTTGACAAACATATAACGTGGAGAATTATTAAAACAATTAAATCGCTAAATAGTGTAAAATATTATGATTACAATCAAAGCTTAAAACTTTAAGTTATAAATTAGATTAGATTTTTTGATCAGTAATTTGCACAAGACGTGTCATAGAAATGGCATTATTCATTTAATCATGTGTTTACGTTCTATAAAATAATGCATGGGTAAATGATACTTAGATCTTGAAAACTAATATCAAAATTTATTTAAATAAATAAATATTATTAGATATAGATTATACAATTATAAGCACCAATATTATTATAGGTTCAAAAAAATGTTTATATTTTTTTCTCCCGATTTTCTATAGCCACTTTTCTTACAATAAAATATGTATTAATTTAATCGATAAGGTAATATGTAATATTGTGATTAACAAAACGTAAAATATTTTTTACTATACCTTTACCTACTTCAAACACTGATTTGTGGTTTGTAATCAGATTTTCTAATTCATGTACAAAACCTTGATTATGGAATGTAGGTAAATAGTTATTTGGGAATAATCTTTGTCTGATAAGTCTTGTTAACTTGCGGACTATCTTGCTTTATACATTTGCTTGTCTATCTAAAATATTTTTTCAATTTCTTACGTAGTTGGAGGTAAAACTGCAGTTTATAACAAAAAAGTATACTATTCATATACCTAAGTAGTATATTATAACTGTAAGTTTACAGCCCATTTTCATTTTTAATCACGGTAATCCCACCATGTTCAATCGGTAATTTCCAATTCAAAAATCTTGGTTGTACCGTATATACACATTACAGGGAGATTACGGAGTATTTGACCGTCAATTTATCGATCGCACAAAAATATTTGCAGAATAGACGTCATTATCATAGATATTGACTACACTAAATTGTCATGTTTTTTTAACAAATTGTTAGTACTTATTGAATAAGACATATTTAATTTATATTTTTAAGTTGAAGGTTAGAACATTTATTCAGTTATTAATGAACCGTTTTTATTTATTATATTTTTTTAATATCCTGTGAACCATCATTATTGAATTTTTTTCACAAGTAATTATTTAGTAATTTGTTATCAAATCGTTATAACACAATTTTTTTAGTACAGCCAACGTTTCGTATGATAATGTGTAAATATTTTGTGTAACCGTTTATTTGAAGTCGACGACTGTGTAATCTCCTTATAATGTAAAATGTAAAATCAAGATTTTTGAAGGGGACATTTTGACTTGAACATGGTGTGATACTGTATTTAGTGATAACCCTACTCATACGAAATATATACCAAAATATAATTTATTTGTGACGATTATGAATTTACTTACTCAGTTATTTCTGTTGTGCAGAGGCGTAGACATGATTTCTGAAAGGGGGGGACCAAAAAAAAAAAAAAACGCCATAGCTAAATGGGAAGGGAAAATTGGAAAATCCCCCACCCTCTCAAAACTTTTTACTAAGGTAATAAAAAGCCAATGGGGGGGATCTGACAACCCACGCCCCCCATTGTATACGCCCTTGCTGTTGTGGTATGATAAATAAACACTATACCAGATATCTATTATATTGTAGACTAAAATAAAAAAATAATACTATCAATAATGTAAAGAATATACGATAAGACATGGCCACAAACGAGATAGGTGGGTACGGTCAGCCATAACGTTGTACCTCATGAGCTAGCGAGCGTATACATCATAACGTAGATACATCATAATAACGTTGACTAATACCGTGGTTCTGTTTGACGGATGGCCCAGGTCACCAACCACCTGTTCCAGGAACCAGCCAACGATTACGGCAAGGACTTGGCGTCCATCAACATACAACGGGCCCGGGAACACGGGATACCCAGCTACTCGGCCTGGCGGCAATACTGCAAGCTACCGGCGATCAAGTCATGGAGCTCGATGCTGACGGACATCAGCAATGCCACTGTGAAGGCGTACTACGACCTCTACACGACTCCGGAGGACGTGGACCTGTGGTCCGCGGGAGTGTCGGAAAGGTCAATCGAGGACAGTATCGTTGGACCAACGTTCGGGTGCATCATAGCCAAGACGTTTAGCGATCTGAAAAAGGGCGATCGGTTTTGGTACGAGAACTCCGGTCTACCGAACTCGTTCACGCTAGGTAATAGTCCGATATGTGCATATTGTTATAATACGTCATTATTTTAGAATATTGGAAAAAATTCCATGGGAAAAAAGCAGACGGAAACTAAAATGACTATTATTAATCTATAAAAATGTATTGCATTAAGTTTCCAGGTTTTTTAATTGTATTAATAATTCTATATGATAATTGAGTCATACATTATAATCGTATACAATAGTCCTATATATAATGTAAACAAAAAAGATATTCGATTTTCGTGAGCCTAACCGAAATCCGTGTGTGAGCCACCTTATATCCAATCTATAGTAGGGGTGGTCAGTGGTAAAAAAGTCTTGAGCCACACAATATAATGAAAAATAATATAAAGAGCAGAAAAAGGAATAATAGGTAGATACCTATTATTATATTAGTAAATATGTTAAGACGCGAACCGCGTTTTGGCTACGCCTGGTATATATAGCTACCCTATAAATGTTGCAAAAAACACTTCTCGAATCTCGAGGAATTTGAATGCAAAATTTGGTGCCAATCGAGGTTTGGTAGTTTCCAAGTCACTATAAGTAGCCCCATACAAACGTACATTGATTATTAAACATATAATATTTATATATAGATGACACTTGACAGTTTATTTACCGTTATGTATTTTTCCAGAGCAATTGACGGAAATAAAAAAAATCAAATTATCGCGAGTGTTGTGTGACAACAGCGACAATATCGTAACAATTCAACCGTTCGCTTTGGAATTGCCGTCGCAGCAAAAGTATGTTCTATTTTTTTTATAAATATCTTTTTCATTTTCATTTGTTTTGGATACCTTTAAAATTGATGGATCGAATTTTCAGGAACAACAGGGTTTCTTGTAAAGGACACATACTACCACAGATAGATTTATGGGCTTGGAAAGAATATACAGGCTGCTGTAGCAGCAGCATCAAAAAGAAAGTGAGTATTTTCTAAACACACGTTTTGTAAGAATTTTGAAGTATTTTTTAGCCATTATAAAAATATATTTTATAACACTGTGTTTCTCCCGATCTCATTAAAGGTACCAAACTTGAATAACCTAAACCCACAAATACACAAGGTTCAAATAAATGAATGGAACAAAGAGGACGATAATCTGCATAAGTTCATCCAAGCAATAGCTGTAAACATATCGTCATCAAAACCTACAAACTCATGGAAATAAAAATAATATTAACTGTAATAACTATATAATTTATTATTTATTTACCATTTAAGTTTTAAGAATTTTTGTTGTATATTGTTAAGTATTTAAAATATAAAATTGTTTAAGCCATTAAAAAAAAAAAAAAAAAACAAAAAACATTCTAATAATATGAAATGAAAACAACTTTTTAGTACTGTTAGAATCCTGCTGAATATATCCTAAAAACCTTTGAGATGTATTGTATATATTTTATATTTATGACCTAACTAGAATAGTTTATTTTTTAATTAAATTATGTTTAGGAATTAGGAAGTATGCACGCACTCGAGTGACTGCTAAACTGAATAGGCAATTCGTCGAAAAATGTGTGACGGACGAGTTATTCAAAAGCTTGCAAAACGCTTTCACGAGAGTCAATAGTACGAAAAGACACCTTTCCTAACACAAAAATATACTATTACTGTAAAATGACAATGGTACAATAAATCTATAGTGGGAAAAATCCATTGAAAAAAACAGCCCCTATAAGTACCTAATAATTATTATGTAAATGAAGAAGCCTTAATGTATACACCGCATTTAATTATAAAAATTATTGCAATGTGCATAAATGCATAATATTATCGAATATCGAAATCATAATATTATAATAAACGTAAATAGTAGTTAAATCAAAATATAAAAAAAACATCAATAACTATAATAATGAATAAATGTGTACAAATTAAAATTAATCAATGGCACTCTTTATACAGATGGTATGGCTTACTTTAGGCATTAGACACGTATTATTAGAGCTGGTAATCTAATTCCCTAAAAAAATACTTATTAAAATTAAAAAATACATGAAACATTTATGCTTTAAGACGCGACTGGTAAACAATGCAAATTGCACCAAAATTCTAGCTCTACTTTTTATTATAATATAATATTATACAGGTGATAGCAGCACTCTGCATTTTTAATTGTTTACTGTGCGTGTTTTTCCCCCTGATAGGAATTGGGTTTCGGGTTTTTTTTTCATTTCTTAGGCATAATTAGGGATATTTTTCTGTTGGGCTAGAATTGCATCAGCAGCACAGGCCCTGATAATTTATATTTTAAACTGGGAGGGGGGGTTACGGAAATAACTGGGTGGACTAGGCCCAACAACCCCCCCTAATTTTTTACCTATTCAGAAAATTGTTGGGTTTTGGTGTAGGGCGAGGGTAATAATTTTGACCAAACAATTAATATAATAATTTCCGTTAGGGTGAATTATTCTGAACTTCGTGAGCGATTTTCACTATAATGATGTTTACAGTGGGTGGTAAGGATATTTACCCCCCCCCCCCCCCCGAAATTTCTTCGAGGCTTTGTATAATAACCAGCTATATAATACAGCAGTGATCTCAATTCAAAATGATTTCTTAGAACTTATTAAAATTATATTATTAGTTATGACTGTGGTTCAAAATGAATTACATGAATCAAAATTTAAAAAACTAAAAATATTTTGCCCTACAAGTTGGGTTGAGCGCCATGACGCTATACTTGTGTTTCATGAACTTCAACCTGCAGTTGTGGATGCACTTTATGAAATATCTACTTAGAAAGATACTGAGACTTCTGCTTTACCTAACCAACTTAGTTCCTCCGTCCATCAATTAAGGTTTCAAGTAGCTTTATTAGTTATTTATATTAGTAAAATATGTATTTGCAATAACTGCTCTTTTGAGCAAATTTCTTCAAACTGAAAATTTATACTTAGAATCTGCTCTAGAATTTGCTGATATGACTCAATCAACTATAAAACAAATCCGCGATAATGCTGATGTTGAGTTTGATAATATATTTAAAAAAGTTAAAGATGTCTGTTCTAGTTTTGGTATAACACTATAACTGTTATAGTGTTCCAAGAACAACAAGTCGACAAAAAATAGGAGTAATGTTATGAATAATAATCCAACAGAATATTATAGAGTCTCAAAATTCATCCCATTTCTTGATAACTTAATTATTGAACTACTCCATGGACGATTTCTTGAACATAGGCCAAACTAAAAAGTTTCAACTGTTTATTACCTAAGACCAGCAAACAAATATCTGAAGTAACTTTTGAAGACTTCGAAATTATGTTCAATTTGTATACGGATATTAAGTGACGGCAACAATATGACTAGCTTAGAATTTCCTCAAATTTAATACTAATGTATAAAATTATAGTGTTGGTGCTGACTTCAAGTTGATAAGATAATAACAAGATGCATTATTATTAAGCAATATCCAAAAGTCATAACAAAAATAATGTTTAAAAGTATTTAATTATGATGTACCTACTTATCGTATAATAATAATTAATAAGAAAACAGCGAATGCCTTTATCGAATTAATACTTATTACGGGCGCTATAGCTGCAGAGTGGGTGAAATATAAAATATTAGACTAGCCACTGAAAAACTTCAAGTTCGCCACGCCACTGTCTGTAGGTCATGTATAATATTATCTAGTTTAACGACTATTGTTTAGTTTTGCTTTTCAACACAATAATATGTGCGATATCCGTTGACCGAGTTATTATTATTGTTTTGTTGTTCCTTTATAAGTATCAGTGTTTTTTTTTTTAATTATAGTGAAATACCTTAGTGGCTACGTCATTGACCGTATCTTACACGCATTACGTTTACGCAATAATTTAACATAACTATAAGCTAAAATATATAATAGGTACTATGATGGTAGGTAAATACTAAATTTTAATCCTATGTATAATAATATGATGATAATGCGTGTGTAATATTATAAATTTAGAGACCGGAATTGTATCACTAAATTGTAAAGAATTAAAAATATTCAACAATAAGTAAGTATACCTACTTCTCTCTTCACCTAACCTTTCTTCTCTAATTGCGAGTTTGTATTAATATGTAAATACCTATATTATGTTTAAATAAATATAATGTTATTATATTATAAATTATACATATAGTAGGTACACGTTGTAAACAAAATACCAATATTATAATCGTTTCTAAATTAAGAACTGATCTAGCTCAATTGGGACCATAATATTATGCATCTGTAAATTAAAGTTAAACCTATTATACCTATTTGTAATAATTTTTTTAGATTCTGAGTGGAACGATGAATGTATTGATTTTACAATAATGTGTGTTTTTTTTTTTTATTTTGTGTCTGTCATCACCTTTTAGGACAGTAAAAGTGATTGGATTTTTTTCAACAGTATCTTTTTTAGATGGGAAACTGAATCTAGTTAGTACTTTGGGGGGTCAAAAAGAGGGAATTTTTACGCAAAATCGGTTTTCCACAAAATCGATTTTGGTTTTTGGTGTAACTCAAAAACAAATGAATGTATATACATGAAATTTTCATTGGTTGTTTATATTTGCATTTTCTATACACAATGATATTTTAAAAATATTATGATTTGTTTTGAACTGTTTAGGAACATTTTCATTTTCCATTTTTTTTTAGTTAGTTTTAGAATTCGTAAAAATGTTTCTTTTTATATCTATGATATGAAAAAGTAATATTAAGATTCCTTATAAGTTTGTCTACTTTTATCAAAAAAAAAATGTCCTTAAGAAAGTCAAACTAAATTTTTATGATAGTTTGAAACTCAAATTTTTACTACAATGGATATTCACTCGATTTCTCATGTAGCTATTTCCTAATTATATAGATACCTATTTACCTCTTTTTACTTGTATAATATGATTTATTATTTATATATATTACGTACACACTCTAGTTTACTACCTTCTTATAAATTATACATATATAAGGGCTTAATTATATAATAAATTAACTTACCCTGATTCAAATGCAGACATATATTTATACTGTAATTTATTCGTTGAACGAAAGAAGAATAAATAAGTTTAATATTAATTTACTTATAATTAATATATCAAAGATATTTGAAAGAATACATTTATTATTTAAAGACACAAACATATTATACTGAACATACATTATATATAGCTCATCACGTATGACTGCTACCGAGAGAGTACGCAGCGAGAGTGCTGTGGTCCAGATCGGACCGATGGTCGATGGGTGTCGTCCAAGCTGATGGAACAGTTGATTTATATAAGGCCATTACAATATAATATAAAGACATAAGTCTTTATAATATGAACATCTGTGTGACTGTATGCCTGTATATACAATATGATATGTATATTATATTATATATTAAGGATTATGATGATGAAACTCTTGTTAGCCATTAGTTATAAAGAGTGGCTATCATTACAAACTTTAAATGAACCCGATAGAATTGAAAAAATATTTTTGTCTTTTCAACAGTTTTTTTAGATTCTGAGTGAAACGATGAATGTATTGATTTTACAATGATGTGTGTTTTTTTTTTTATTTTTGTGTCTGTCATCACGTTTTAGGACAGTAAAAGTGCTTGGATTTTCTTCATCAGTAGCTTTTCTGATAGGAAAGTGAATCTAGTTGGTACTTTGGGGGGTCAAAAGTATAAATTTCCCAGTAGTTTTCACAAGCGCCGGGAAAAACAACATAAAAATTAAGAAAAAACGGGAATTTTTACGCAAAATTGGTTTTCCAAAAAATCGATTTTGGTTTTTGGTGTAACTCTAAAACAAATGAACGTATATACATGAAATTTTCACTGGTTGTTTATATTTGCATTTTCTATACACGATAACATTTTCAAAATATTTTGATTTATTTTGAACTGTTTAGGGACATTTTCATTTTCCATTTTTTTTTAGTTTTTTTTCTAAAAATATCAATAAAATTTTATTTGTTGGTTTTGAAAGCTTTAAAATTTAATAGAAAGCTCCTAGTATATTGTTTCAAAGGCAGATGAAAAATATTAAAAATCCTTAGTCACAATTTTTTTTTATAAGCATTTAAAGTTCAAAAATTGACCAAATATGGAAAAATCACGAAAATTAGCAAATTATTTTGAGTTAAGAATTCGTAAAAATTTTTCTTTTTAAATCTAAGATTTGAAAATGAAACACAAGATTCCTTATAAGATT